AGACGGAACTCTGACCCCTCAAGGGGACTGTGGTGCCCTGGGACCCCAAGATGTACCTAATTGGGGGGGGGGGGGTCCTGTTGTCTGTGCCTGCAGGACCTGTCTTGGACTGTGTTCCTGTCATCTAAATAAACCTTCTGCTTTGCTGGCTGGCTGAGAGTCATGGTGAATCGCAGGAAGCCGGGGGTGCAGGGCCTGGTGTCCCCCAACACTCTGTGACAGCCCCGTGTCCCATCCCCGACCCCCTGAGCCTGCCAGTCCCCCCCCACCCTGGCCCTTCAGTGCAGCCCCGTCCACTTGCCCCCCAGACGGAGCCTGCGCAGAGAAAGCCGAGGGGGCCGCGCTCAAGGGCTGGAGTCAGCAGGGCCTTTACTCAGAGCTGGGCTGGAACCCAGGAGTCCTGGCTGCCATTGTTCCATGATAGTTACGTTGTGACACAGACTTTGGTTAGCACAGCGGCAGGACGGTGAATAGCCAGGGGGTGGGGGGCAGGGCTGGGATGGTCCGTGTGGGGTGCTGGAGAGAGGAGACTCCATGGCGGGGGGTGGGGGGGCGCCTTGGCCAGCAGTGGGAGCAGCAGGCCAGGCACTGAATGACTCACACAGATTCACGCCCTCGTCCTGTGTCCCCCCACCCCACCCCACGGGGACAGCCCAAGGGAGCAGCTGACAGGGACGTCCCCATGGCCTCGTCTCCCCACTCTGCGGAATGCTCCCCCATCAGTATCCCAGAGCTCATTGCACCCGATAGCAGTGGGGCCAATTCCCCCCCCCCAGAAATGCAACCACCTCTGGGGTGGGGCCTGGCAGCTGGGAAACAGCACATGTCACTTTGGGACAGGAAGTGACGGAGACACCAGTACCCAATGGGAGCAGCGGGGGGAAGGGCCACGGGAGCGTTAATAGCCACGGGGGAGGGGGAATGTGAGCACCCAGCCCACATAGCTGGGACCCCACAGTCAACCCCCCAAGCGGGATGTGGGACTCTAACTGGGATGGGGCTCTGGTGTCACTGGTGAGTCTCTGGGCCCCTGGGGGGACGGGGCTGTGACCCCCTGGGGGGTTTGGATCCCTGGATAATAACTGCCCTGTCCTGCCCCATCCCTGAGCTGCTCCCCTGCCCCATAGCCAGGGCCGGCTCCAGGCACCAGCTTACCAAGCAGGTGCTTGGGGTGGCCACTCCGGAGAGGGGCGGCAGGTCCAGCCGTTCGGCGGCAATTTGGCGGACGGTCCCTCACTCCTGCTCGGAGCGAAGGACCTCCCGCCGCATTGCCGCCGCAGATCACGATTGCGGCCTTTTTTTTTTTTTTGCGCCGCTGGGGCGGCAAAAACCATGCAGCCGGCCCTGCCCCATAGCCCAGCTCTCTGTCGCTGCCCCCCAGGCCAGGGTGTCCGTGCTGTGGGGCTGCAGCCTGGGCTCTCCAGGGGGTGGGAGCATCTCCCCCTCTGCAGCTGCCTCTCCCCTGGGAAAGGGGCTTGGGGGTCCCGCTCCCCACGGCCTCCTCCCTGCTGCCCCCACCCCTGGGGAAGGCACTGGTCTGCACTGGGACTGGGAACCCACAGCCTCCCCCAGGAGTCACCTCCACTCCCAGAGCCCCCCTCTGGGGTCCTGTCCCCTCCCTCCAGTCAGATCCAGCCCTGCCCAGGCCCCGCCCCAGCACAACAACCCTGATCCCTCCAGCCGCTAAATGGCTCCATGGTGTGTCTGGGGAGTCCCCCCCCAGGGCAGCTGCTCTGTGCCCTGTGTCCCCTCCCCCCAGCCAGAGCTCAGAGGGGCCAGAGCCCCCAGCCCTGTCCCGGCCCTGGCGGGGGTGGGGGTGGGCAATGAGCACGGAGCCGGTGGGGGGCTGGGGATGGTTTATTAGGGTGTAGCAGTTCTAACAGCGCCCAGCCTCGCTCCGGCTCCCCCCAGGTTGCAGAGCAGCGTCCCCCAAAGGTTCCCCGAGGGCAGCGGGGTCAGCGAGAGGGAACGTGGGGCTGGGCTGGGGCAGGGAAAGGGTTAACGCAGGAGGGGTTGCCCCAGGGCCCTGCTAGGACTGAGGGGCAGGGACGGGTCCCCAGGCGGGGGCAGCGCGGGCTGGAGCCGGGCAGAGCGCGGGGAGCAGACGGGGACAGGAAGGGACCGGCCCCAGGTTCTGCATTCTCCGGGCTGGGCGAGGGGCTGGGGGAGATGGACGGAAGCTCCTGCCGGCCGGGGATCCGACGCCCAGGATCTAATGCAGAAGCCCTGCGGGGAGAGGGGAGAGAAATCAGCCCCTGGCCGTGGGGCTAGCGGGACGGACGGGGGATTTTCTCGGCCAGGCCCCAGGGCGCCCCAGTGACTCTGCCCGGAAGCCGCAGAGCTGGGCGATGCTCGTGAGGACCCAGGACCCTCTGTCCCCGGGAGCAGCTCGGGGATCGGCCTGAACGGGGACCGAGGGAGCCGCAGACTCCTCCTCCGTGGGGCCAGTGCCCCATTGCCCAGCTGCCCAGGGGCTGAGCCGGGCGGGTGTCAGGGGCCGAGGGGCAGAAGCAGCCGCCCCACGGGCACCCCAGGCAGCCTGTGGTCAGTGTGGGGGGAGGTGGGTTTAATGGGGGGAGGGAGATTGAAATTACCTGCAGGTTGGGGAACGGGGCGCCCTGAAAAACAAAGAGAAACATGGTCAGAGCCCTGGGTGGGGGGAGCCGGTTCCTGGGGGTCAGAGCTCCAGCCCCTGCCCCATGGCATGGAACGCCCCTCACTAGGAACCCAGCC